TTTTCAATAAGTTCTTCTACAGATAACATTAAAGCAACTGCCACCTCTAAGATTATGATGTTCTCCACTACTAGTGGACCATTCTTAGAGGAGAATGATAACAGTAGGTGACAGTAAAGTCTATTGTAGTGAAGGACCAGGAATATGTTGACCAGATCCAACGTACCAGTCAGGTTATAGTATCCTCCACAGCTGTGCAAGCTGAGCTTAAAACAGTGACCGTCTAAGTGCCATGTGCTCCAGAAAGAAATGAGATTTGTTGTAGTTGCAAATGCAGCGAGCACTATCCCATATTCTAATAAATAAAAATACTTTTTGTTTGAAATAAATGATCTCGAGCGAAAATAATTGTAATTTTGAACACATGATATTTAGTTTCTGAGATCAAATTTTCGGCGATTTAGGTTTTACAATTCGAATCGTACATTCAAATCAATCGATGCAATAATGCTGGCCGAAGTTTTGTAAATCTAGTACTTTATGTATGACGTGTGAAAGTTAACATGAAAATTAATTTTCTGTAACTTACATGTAATGTAAAATTAACACAACCCTAACTGGAGATTTAATTATTGTCACTGATGCCGAAATCAGATGATTCTAAAATTTGATCTATTTAATGTACGGCTTTTGGATCATCCAATTTCTGCATCATCCAATTTCAACATCATCTAATTTCGACATCATCTAATTTCAGTATGATTCGTGACAATTATTACCGCAGCTAATGCTTAAATTTGGAATCTCGGTTCAGTCAATTCACCAACAGTCAATTCACCGACAGTACGATTCACCGACGAGATAATTCTGGTCATTGTCGTTAGGGTCAGGTTTAGAATTAGTTAAGGTTAGTGTAATTCATAAAAAAATCTTGTTTGTGAAACGTACTGTCGGTGATTGTGGGTGAATGGTGAATTTATTTTCGGTGAAATGAACCGGGTCCTAATATCTATATACCTCTATTAAAAATTCTGGCCATGAATCCTAACATAACCCCAGAAAAACTCCCCAAAATATTTTAAAGGCTTATATCAAGACAATTCACGGATTTTTAGAATTGGACCCTTACTCAAAACCCGATTATTTTTAAAAATTCCGGTTTATAGTAGTTATATAAAGTTCGATACGTAAAATTCTAAAAATTATCAGCATCAGCCGATCTCATCACCAGCATAGCCGTGACAATTGTTACTATGCTAAATTTTCGTACTTTGTACCAGGAACGGAGTGATGAAATCACAAATTGTATGGTTATACGACGATTTAAATGATGTTCGTCCGCAAAAACTCGCGAATGATTGTAATGCACTTAAATTTCACTAATGTCTGTCGTCGTTTGAAGGTCTGAAAAAGCATTTATGTAACATTTGTTTAGAACTTTGGCATTCATTGAAACCGATTTAAAAAAAAAAAGATTTTGAATGCTCTACTATATACATGTCTTTGTAAAGAAATGTAAATTAATGTTCTCGTGATTTGTACAATTTAATTCAAAAACTACAAGTTTTGACGTCAATTCTCTTCGAATATACTCATACTTATGTTATTATTACATAGTTTATCAAGTCGTTACATTTTTCAAACAACTTTAGAAATTGCAATTAACGGCTTTCTGACTTCACCACCAATCAATTAATTGGGCTTTGAATAGTTGCAAATAATTGCCCTCACAATCAATTATTCGGTAGACCTGATTCTAAAGATAAATTTGATTAATAAATAATAGGGTAGCTGCGTGACGCTGTCACGCGAAACCAGGAACGTAAATTTTGAAATAACATGATTAGAAGATCCAAGTTCTTTCAGTATTATTAAATAAATTTAGCTCATGACTAATAAAAAAATTTAGAGTGAGTGAAAATTTCACACACAATTGAACTTTTATTACTTAAAATATATAGATCAGCTTATTTAATTCGTATCGAGAACTTCATGTGAACAAATTCGAAAATAATACTATCGCTGTATATTTTTTACTACGTATCAATTTGTTCCGAAAGTAGTAAGGTATAACAGATATGTATAATTGTACCCAGTACACACACATGTGCTACGTAGAATTTAGAAGCTATCAAACAAGAACTCACAAATGGGGTACCTTTATGTCCTGCAAATGCGGACCCCTTCGTATGAATTAGAACCAATAAAATAACGAACATTTCGTGTAACAAAACAAAGGAACAAACCGTAGCTAACACAAATTTTACTATGATAACCTTCTAAGTAAAAATTTTTAGAATAAGATTTTACATACAGTGTCGTTTTTTTATACAGTAGGGAAATAAAAGGCGCCTTTAAGATTTACCTATCTAAATTTTGATCGGAGTCCGAATTTGCAGGATATAGGGGTACTGTTAAACCCGTACTAACTCTATAAGTACAGTTAGCCTAAGACAATAGTAAGCGAAGACGTTAAGGATTGAATGTCTTACGGCCGTCTTATGCAGTAAGTAATTATGTCAATAACTAGTATTGACGTTTAAGAGAATTTAGAGTGATTTGCAATTACGAAAGAGACAAACGATTAAATGTATATGAAGATACAAATAGACGTACAACAGTTCCCTAATAAAATCCTTGAGTTATTCTTGTATGAAGACACGATGTCTCTTTATTAAATATTTCACAAGTGAAAGCACACCGATTCAATAATACGATATCGGGACTATTTATACATGTTTATTCATATAGATCTGCACGACTAATCTTTAGTTCACTTGTTAATCTTAATTCTATGTTGGTTAACGATATAATATATAATAAAATTGCTAAATAATAATATATAAATGAAAAAGAAGAGTAGGGGTGAATATCGATTCAATCTATTAGATACGTTAACATCCAGTACAGGTTTATACGACTGCCGGTCGTTGATCGAAGGTCTTGGTCACCTGATTTACCAAGCGGTTACTTACTTAAGATCAAGTGACTTAACAGTACTCCTCCCAAATGTCGATTTCATATCGTGATCGATTTGAATACTTCATCCAATAAGATCCAAGATTGTGTACACAGATAGTTGCCTGTAAGCCATACACTTCGTTTTACTCCGTTCCTGGTAAATTAAAAATCATGCAATTAAATTCATGATATCAATATTAAATCATGATATTAAAAATAATACATAGCATGACATTGTCAATCTTAAAAATCGTGAGACATTAATCATAAACTGGCCATATCTAATTCATCTTTATACTTATTATTTTACATTTATGACCACAAAGTCATTGCAAATCCTGAAGATCTGTTGTAGAAATGAAGCTATATATAAACAGAAACTTTTCGCATAAAATAATTAATAACTTTTCTAAGTTAAATATCAAAATCTCCACAGTACAATAATCGGAATTCTATTTCATAATCCTTTTTCATTTAAACTGCCAAATAAAATGAAGTGTTATGCTATTATCTTTTTAATTTTCTTAATCTTATCATCTCCTATCACGGCCGTTCCCACTGCTAAGTATGATAGGATCAAAGCAGTCAATTATGCCAATAAATATTGTCAAAATCCGAACCCTTCATATGAAGTATTATCAGGTGCCGATTGTACTAATTTTGCTTCGCAAGTCTTATTTAATGGAGGTATTCCTTACGATACCAATAAAATTTGGCAACCTTATACAGGAGCATGGATTAATGTAATAAGCTTTTATAATTATCTCAAAAAGGATTATCTAGCAAAAGATTGTAAGTTAACTGAGTTGAAACCAGGAGATTTTATACAATATCGTAATTCAACATCTCATGTATGGGATCATACAGTAGTGGTCGTTAAAGGAGGCGCAGATCCTACAGTAGATTATCATAGTAGTAACAGATGTAATGTAAAACATAGTGGAGTTTTAAGTTTTGGTAAAGATATGTTTAGAGGAGTTTGTATTACCAAATAAGCTAGCAAATCTCGACTTTAGTTTTATTTTCAGGATGATCTAAATTTCTATTATGTTTTTATCCACATATGTATATATATATTTTACCTTTTTGCCATTAGTATGTACCAAAAAAGTTCTTTGTTAAATAAATATAAATATTATAAATTCATTCTTTTTAAAAATAAATATAATATGCATGGTAATTATGACATTTGGAATTATTTGACAAAATTAGACCAAATGAAAACTTTAAGAAGGACGTGCTCAATGTAATTACTGTGATTAAACCTTGCCGCACAAAAAATACATGGGAATTCACTATTCTGATCAACAATCAAAAATTTAAGCAGAATTTTTACTAATGAAATCATGTAAGTAAAAATTGGCGTTATCAGAAGACTTTATAACTTGTAGTTGTTGGTGATTACTGCGTCCTGGACTATTATATTTACATTGTTGATTTTACCTAGTAACCTTGTTTGGTCATGTAGTTATAACTACAACAATGGATGATTTCATTTGTATATAGAGTTCTAACTTATCAATTAGCATCTTGATCATTATGTTTATAATCATCTCAGAATCTAATACAGTAATAATTAGGTTTCCTTTGATCCTTACTAACAATATATTGTTATCATATTTTATTGTTTTTAAACTTCACATAATTAGCTTCTTAAATGGAAGATAAGAGGCTTATGTCAAAAAACATTACTAGTTAGAATGTCACAATATTTACTCTATAGTAATACAATTGTAATACGTATTTAGGATTTAGGTCAAAATTCTGACAAGCAGAATTTTAACAAATCATAATACTGACAAAAAATCCTGACAGTTAAAAATTTTAACATTCAAAAATTTCAACAGTTAAAAATTCTAACAATTAAAAACTTTAATAAAAAATATCAAAAATTATAGTAACCCTTATTTTAACTCTTATATAAAGTAATCTAACTCTAAATTATATGAATCTATTTTGCTTTAAATATATTTCATATTTGGAATTTATTATTTAAAAATTCTAACTATTAGAATTTTTAATTATCAGGATTTTGATTTTCAGAATTTTGATTTTCAGGATTTTTTATTAAAATTATAATCTATTAGAATTTTGTTTGTCAAATTTTGATCTGTATTTAATATTTATAATATTTTTTTGCAATATATAAAAAAAAATAATTTTGTTAATTACAAAAGAATTATCCTTTTGTCTAAATTTTTTATTAGTATAAATTGTTTTTTTCTATTACTTTAATATTTTTGTTTAAATTTATTAATAATTGATTAGTATTTGAGTGATTTTTAATTTACTGAGATTGAATTATTTTTGAGTTATTCATTATCTACTTCTTTTATATAATTAGTATGTATTTTTATTTGGGTTATATATTTCATTCTTTTTTCAAATTTCATTATTACTATAAGATATAAATTTTTTAATATAGTTACTAGCTTGTTTTTTTAATTATTATTTATTTTAAAGATTTTTTTAATAAACAATATGATCAATTTTATTCTATTAATAACATATAATATATTTTTTAAAATTTATAGCATTTCTTATTATTTTTTAATTTAATATTATTATAAAATTTTTTAGAATATAATTTATTAAAATAATATAGTTTAGATTAATTTATTTGATTTTTTTAAATAATAATTTTAATTTTTTACTAATTTTTATTAATATTTATTTATTTATATACTATAATATTTATTCACTTTAATTTTTTAGATATTAATAATAACTTTTTCTAAAGATTTTAGATTTAAAAATAGTAACAAAGTTAAAGTTTTACTATAAAGTTTATTTAAAAATATTTTAATAATATAGATATTAATAACTCTATTTTGTATACAAGATATTTAAACTTTACTGCATATGTATTTATTTATTTTATTATTATTAAAAATTATTTAATTCTATATAATATTAATAATATTTTTCTAATATAGTAAAGAAATTTAAAAAATATAATAAAATTTTTTACTTTATTAGATTTATTATTATTTTTTAATTAGTCTTTTTTTCTTTATTACCAAATCTTAAAAATATTTAAATATAATTTAATATCTTCTGTTCAGATTAATTATTAGCTATAGTAGTTCTTTTAAATAACTTTAATTATTTAATTAATATTTTTTTATCATTTTTTTAAAAAAGAATAATCTTTATATGAGTTAGTACACTTTTTTCTTTAAGATCTTTTTTTGAATTATCAATAGTATTAAAAATATAAATAAAAAAATTAATTTAATTATTTAAAAGTTTTTTTAATTAATAATTATTTATTTAATTTTATCAAAATAGTATTCTTTTTTAATACATATATGTTTTTAAAAAAATTTTTTAAAAAAACTCTTTTTGCAAATCTATTACACAAAAATTAACAAAAAAATCATCTGTCTAAAAACATTAATAACTATTTATTTTACTAAGACAATCTGTCCTGGTGTCTTAAGTAACTTATTCAGCTCAGTAATTTATATATATTCTGAAAATAATATAGATCTAGCTCTTAAACTTATAGAGAAAACTGTACTAATGGTCTTTGGCCTTCAATTTTAAAAAATTAACTCTTTCACAGTTTTTATTACAATAACTTGTCTTACACCCTTAATTAAAATTGTAGTGCATACTTGTCTAGTTAAAACAAGTTTTAAAAGAATGTTGACTCAATATTGATCAAACTATAGCTAAATTCATCTTTTATTATCTTGTAAAACTCTTTTTCTATCTTTTGTTTCTATCTTATTTCCATTTTCTCTTACATAATTTTTGTGTAATCATATTATTATTTTCCAAAATATACTTTATTAATTTATATCACAATTCTGTAATATATCTATTAATAGAAACTTATTAAACACAATCAGTTATTATTATATTTGGTTCTTACTAATTATACATAGCAATTTGTATTGTAAACTTTATTTGTACTAGTATCCAAGTCATATTTGTGACCCCAATTACTTTAGTCAGACATTAGTATTACTTCTGTAATACCTCAATTATACAACTCTTGTTCCTATCTCCTATTCTTATAAAATCAATTACCTAACTATTAGAAATCTGTCTAAGTTTCTAATACAATACTTATTTAATTTATAACAAATTTAAAAATGTTTACATTAAGCAACCAAGAGCCTAATACTGCAGATTTTGATTACTTTTACCAAAACTTCTCTAACAGTTTTGAAATTGCCTTTTATGAAAAAGAAAATAACAACAATAATCATTCAATTCTTCCTAAAATCAAACTAACCTCTTGTTTAACTAAAAACCTTAGAACTAATAAAATTACTTACTTTTTTCAAACTCTTATTTTTATCTCTATGATTACTTGCCTTTGTAACAAATATTACACTAAATTTATTTTAGTTACTAACACTAATCATATTCAAGCTACTGAATTCACTACAGTTCATATTAATAATAATACAAAAAAGAATCTTAACAAACTAGCCCAACAACTCCTAACTAATTTTTTCTCTTCAATTGATAATATTTCTTCATTTTCTATTTCTGATATACATTATCATATTTGTCCCAAATACTCTTTTCTAATTGGTTGTACCAAGAGAAATGACTGTCACTATTCTAATGAAAAATATGTTACTTAAAACAATGAAATCTACCATCTTACCTGCATAACTGTCTCATCTTAAAATGAAGCTAGCTCATCTCAAACCAAGAAAAATCTTATTCAAACCTTCCAAAACATTCTACATGAAACTTCTTAAATTACCAATCCTTTTACTTTCTCTTCTTACCAAATCTTAATTTCTTCTAATCTTATCAACTCTTTTTTTACTACAACTACCAATACCAACTTCATCTTTAACTAACTTTCTATTACTAACATTTCTGATAATATTAACTTAAATCTTAATAATTCTAATAATACTAATTTACCTGATAGTACTTCTAATAAATCTTTTCTTCAAACCTATTCTAGTATTGCTAAATCAAAATCTAATCCTATTTATGACTAACTTGTAAATTTTCTAATTACTAAAAAAATGTAACTTAACAAAAAATTAAAAACTACTTTTTCTTTCCAACTCTTTACATTTCTTAAAAAATTTCTTTATGATTTTTATTTTGATAAAGAAATTAAGCCTGCTACCTCTACTCAACCTATACTTAAGTCCTCATTTTATTACATTATCCATATCATGGCTGGGCAATGGCCAGAATTTATAATTGATCTCATTTATAGTAACAATTCTAATATTGTCAAAAGTGTTATTATCATTTTTGACCTTCTTGAATCTATTTTCAAAATTTTACTTCTTAAATTTATAACTGTTCTCTTTACAAAACTCAACTATCTTGAAATCTTTATCTTATTAGCTACTATCCTCTCATATACTGCTCACAACCATCTCTAATTCTGCCTTAACCTTATACAACTTTATCTCTTTTTATCTAATAACTACTAATTAATTAATTACCAAAAATTTGCTTAAGATTTAAAGCTCGGGTCTAAAAGATTCAAAATTGAATCTTTTATTCATACTACTGACCTTAACAAAAATATCTTATTATTCAGTCAGATGCTAAATTCAATATCAAGCTCTTCTTTAATGTTTCTAAAACACTATTTTTTGAAAATTTTGTATTTCTTCTCTTAAAAATTTATTTGATTATTTTAACTCTTGTTTTAAAACTTATTTTTTTTTCTTACAGTTGATAATTCTCTTCTAGTATTGACAAAGAAAAAGTTTGTACATCTCACAGAATCCAATTCTGACAACACTTTATCTTATAATTTTCTAAATATTTCCTGAATTTTATATTTTTAAAAAACCTAATTTTTTTCATAAATAACTTAAAGAAACATTCTATATTGCTAACTTTATTGTCTTACTTGTAATAACAAATTATGTTATACCTTAATAATAAAAAATTCTATGACAGTACCAAACTATTTAATAACATATTAAGCAAATCTTACTTAACATTCGCCTTTCAAGATAATGAAACATAGATCCATCCAACCTTTAATACT